ATTGGCATATAAAAATACTACTGATTTTTTAGTGTTGATTTTGCATTCTGCAACTTTACTGAATTTGTTTATCAGTTCTCAGAGTTTTCTGGAGGAGTCCTCAGGTTTCTTTAAATAAAATTATGTAATCTGCAAAGATGGATAATTTAGCTTCCTCTTTCCCATTTAGATACTATTTATTTCTTCTTTGGTGTAATTGCTCTGGCTAGGACTTCCAGTACTACGTTGAATGGGAATGATGAAAGTGGGCATCTTGTCTTATTCCAGTTCTTAAAGGAAAGGCTTATCACCTTTCCCCATTCAATATGATGTTAGCTGTGTGTTGGTCATATATGACCTTTATTATGTTGAGGTATGTTCTTTCTTTGCCTAGTTTGTTGAAATTTACCATGAAGTGATGTTGAGTTTTATCAAATGCCTTTTCCTGCATCTATTCAGATGATCATATTGTTTACGTCCTTCATTTTGTTGATGTATCATGTTTATCAATTGGCATATGCTGAACCATTTTTGCTTCTCTGGGATAAATTCCACTTGATTATCATATATTATCTTTTTGATGTGCTGTTGGATTTAACTTGCTAGCATTTTGTTTAGGATTTCTGCATCTATGTTCATCAGGGATTTTGGCCTGTAGCTCCTTTCATTTTGTTGTGTTCTTGTCAGGCTTTGGTATCTGAGTAATTCTCATAGAATGCTATAGGGAGAATTCCCTCTTCTTCAATTTTTTGGAATAGTTTGAGAAGGATTCATGTTAACTATTTATACATTTGGTAGAACTTGGTACATCAGTGAATCCATCTGATCCTGGGCATTTATTCAGAGATTTTTTATTACTAATTCAATCTTATTGCACATTATTGGTCTGTTCAGAATTTCTGTTTCTTCCAGATTTAATCTTGGTGGCTGGTATGTGTCCAGGAATTTACCTTTTCTCCTAGATTTTCCTGTCTGTTAGTGTATCATTGTTTATAATAATCTCTGATGATCTTTTGTATTCTGTGGTATCATTTGTGATGTCCCCTTTTTTCTTTTCTGATTTTGTTTAACACAGAAAAGTATAACCCATTGTTAGAGCAAACACACAAATGAGGAAAAGACTCAAATGTTACCACTACAGAAAAACGCTAAACCATAATTATAAATAATAAAAGAGAGGAAAAAAAAAGGTATATAAAACAACCAAAAACTAATTACCAAAATGACAAGAAAAAGTCCTCATATATAAATAGTAAGTTTGACTGTAAGTGGATTAAATATTCCAGTGAAAACATATAGACCTGACTGAATGAATTTTTTAAAAAAGTGACCCAAAATATATTGCCTACAAGAATCTCACTTCACCTGTTAAGATACATAGACTGATAATAAAGTGATAGAAAAAGATACTTCATGACACAGAAACCAAAAGTGAGCAAGAGACAATTGCAGTATGTTCAGGTAGGATATAAGCTTCCATGACCTCAGCTGCCACCATTCCTCACAATGCCCCAGCTATCCAAGATACCTGAGCCCACTTAGCTGTTCAGTACATTACTACTGCAGCTGGCATTTGAGAGAGCCACTACAGTAAAGCTATTTGTAACAAGGAAATCATAAAAAGTCTACATAATTCCTCCACACTCCCATCAGGACTAATGATTGTGCTTGCCATTGGGAAACCTGAGGGCAGGCCTGCCTTGTCCAGCTGTGCCCAACTTTGCCCTCAGTTGGGGGCTGAGAATGGAGCCCATGCCGCTATGCATTCACAGACAGACCATTTCCTGAGACAACAGTGTTTCTCCTAGTAAACAAAGATAAAATATAAACTCTCTGCTACCACCATATTCAGCTCTTGCTGCAAGTGTCACCTACTGGCCTGGAGGTCAAACTGCACAACCCAATAGAAGATGTGTTGACATGAGTCCACAGTGCTTGAGAATAAGATAAGCTTCTTAAGACCTCTTCCCAAGATCTGCAGGAGACTGTGAGCTTCATCACATGCTTAGTACATCACTACTACAACTGGCATTTGAGAAAGTCACCACAAGAAGACTATTTATAACCAAGGAATTCATACAGAGTACATGCCATTCTCCCTGTCACTGCAAGGGCTGGTGCTTGTGCCTGCCAATGAGCTATTTGAAGGCAGGTTTGACAGTTCAGCTCCACTCAGCTTTATCCTCCCCTTAGGGGCTGAGCAGGGAGCTCAGGCCAGTGTGTATTCCATAGATCTGCCCATTGCCTGAGGCAACAGAGAGCTTCTCCCAGTAAACAAAGATCAAGCATATATCCACCTGCTTCTGCCCAGATTTTATTCGTAAGCAACACGTACTGGGCTGGAGATCTAACTGCACAACCCAATAAAAAATTGGCTAACACAAGTGCACAGCACAGGAAAACAAGTTAAGCTTCCTGAGACTTCTGCACTCTGGCTCTGTAGGAGGCAGTGAGCCTAGTCCAGTACATCACTACTACAACCAGCATTTGAGAAAGCCACCACACAAAGGCTATCTATAATCAAGAAACTCATACAGAGTCTTTGCCACTGAAAGCACCCAGAACCAAAGCCAAATGACCCTACACAATATATATATTATAATCACATCCTCAAGGGGGAAAAAGTCCTGACCAAATGAAAGTAAATTAAAAAATAAGAACAGGTAGTTGATCCAAATGAGAAGGAACCCAAGAAATAATTCTGGAAGTATGAAAAAACAGTGTTACAACACCCCAAAGGATTGCACTAACTCTTTCACAATGAACCCTAACCAAAATGAAATCTTTGAAATACCAAACAAAGAATTCAAAATATTGATTTTTAACAAAGATCAAGCATATATTCAGTGAGGTCCAAGAGATAGTAAATAATCGATACAAATCAGAAATAAAATTCAGAATATAAATGAAAAATCTACTAAAGAGATAGATTTTTTAAAAATAGTTTTCTCTGTTGTTTATTTATTTATTTATTTATATTTTTAAGATTGGGTCTTGCTCTGTTGCCCAGGCCAGAGTGCAGTGGTGCGATCTCGGCTTTCTGCAACCTCCCTCTTTGGGGTTCAGGTGATTCTCCTGCCTCAGCCTACTGAGAATCTGGAACTACAGATGTGTGCCACTATGTCCAGATAATTTTTCTGTATTTTTGATAGAGACAAGATTTCATCATGTTGGCCAGGCTGGTTTCAAACTCCTGACCTCAAGTGATCTGCCCACCTTGGCCTCCCAAAATGCTGGGATTACAGTTGTGAGCCACTGTGCCCAGCCTAAATAGGTTTTTTTAAATGAACTTCCATAAATGAAAAATTCATTTAAGAAATTACAAAATATAGTTGAAAGCTCTAACAATAGACTAAACCAAGCAGAAGAAAGGGTTTAAGAACTTGAAGACAAGTCTCTTTTGAATTAACCCAGTCAGACAAAAATAAAGAAAAAAGAATTTAAAAAATGAACAGAGCCTTCAAGAAGTATGAGATTACGTAAGATTATGTAAAGTACTCATAAGTAAAGTAACTGAACCTATGAGTCACAGGTACTCAGAGGGAAGAGAAAAACTGAGAGTTTGGAAAAACTGTTTGAGGAAGTAATTGGGGAAAACTTCTTTAGTTTTGCTAGAGATTTAGACATGTAAATACAAGAGCCTCGAGGAATGCCAGGATGATACATTTGCAAGACAGACTTCATTAAGAAATATAGTCATCAGACTATCTAAAGTCAACATGAATGAAAAAAAATCAAAAATCAGCAAGAGAAAAACATGTAGTCATCTATAAAGGAAATTCTATCAGAGTAACAGTGGACTTCTCAGCAGAAACCTTACAAGCCAGAAGAGATTGGGCCCAATTTTGGGGCTTCTTAAAGAAAAAAAAGCTGTCAAACACAAATGTTATATCCTGCTAAACTGAGAACAAAGAGTAAGTCAGTCATTGCCTGGGTATCATGGAGGTAGAGGGAAAGAAGGGAAGAGGAAACAGTAGATACCAAAGAGGTATGAGAAACATTTTGAGAGTGAAGGGTATATACATTATGCTGATTATGGTAATGGTTTCACTAGTGCATCATTTGCCAACTTCATCAAATTATACATTCTAAATAATGCAGTTCAATGTATAACAATTACATCTCAATAATTTGGAAATAAAAAAATAAAAACTCACAGAGAACAAAACCTCTAGGACCTTATAGCTTCCAGTCACAACATAGTCAGGGACTCAAAAAAAATCTTTAACACAAATAAAATTTTCTTTGGATGCCAACTTAAACTCAGTCCCATCCAGAGAAAACTACTTTTATTAGAATGACATGTGACTTGCATTTTTAGTTCATGCATTTACTTATATACACAGACACAACTTTTTCACATAAATTAGAATTATTACTATGCATGTTGTTCTAAAATGTTGCCTTTTCACTCAAAAAATGTTTAGTAAAATAAAATCTGCTGCCCTCTTTTTAACAGAAGCACAGAATTAAATCATATGGATGTACTTTATTTTATGCTATGCTGTAGAAGAACTAAGATGTAGATCTAAAGACTTCTTTGTGCATTTATCTTTGAGCACTTATTTATTTCTTTATAAAATGACTTTCTAAATTTCCAGATCATCAACAAAGTATTAATTTGGTCAGTTAAAAAACAATTGCTTATATTCTTCTCTGAAAAGAATAATGTAGAAAAGAAAAGAATTTTATGTATTATATATATATGAATAATATGTCATAAGTGTTCAGAAAGACATTGTATTTTAGGTGGAGAGACAGAGAGATGAACAAACTGCTACATGCAGTAAGAGGAACCCTGATAGAACTAACACAGGAGGTTGTGGGGAAAAAAAACAACAACAAAAAACAGCTATGAGTACCCAGCCGTGGTAGAGCAGCATAAATTCTTTCTGTAATCCTTTCTTTCTGAATTGCCATACACTTCAGCAGAGTTTGCAACTTCTAGTCTAAGACTTTATTCTTCCCCCAAGGCATGCCTAGCACAGGACTCTTGAACAGTGATGCCTCAGTTAGAGTTGCTGGCCAATAGATTGAAGTTATGTTGGCACAATACCCCATATCCTCCCAGTTTACTGGCTGAGCCCAACCCCAGCTAAGAAGGACAATAAAAATCTGTGTTCAGAGACATACTGAATAGAGAATTCTGGACTCTATAGAATGCACTGCCTCCTGATGAAGTCCTTGCTGTTCACCCTTGCAGTTTTTATGCTCCTGGCCCAATTGGTCTCAGGTAAATAGAATCTCGGGGAAGAAAAAACACTGGCCTAGAACAGGGTCCTGCACACGGAGTCCCTGTTTCTTCTAAGTGGTCTGTGGAAGCGGGGTCTGGCTTCTCACTGGGACCAGGGCTGAGATTTGTCCTACTTCTTCAAACCACCTCTGTTCTAAGAAACTTCAAAGCTCTTAGGTAGAGCAGGATCTATGATCGGAGCTGGGGAGGAGGGTAAGGCCAATCCCATAAAGTTGCCTCCAAAGGTAGAAATGATCTTGAAATCCCAAACTTCTGTCCTGTCACTTTGGGTCAGTCCAGTCAAGCCCTGCCTCATTTTACTTTTTTTGTCGTAGATACTCCCTTCCAAGATAACAATTATGTAATATTACTTCACTCAGTTTTCTTGGTCTTACAGAGAAGGTCTCTGATTTTTTGTTTATTCTTGGATGTGGTTAACAGAATAGGGAAGGCTGTTTCTAAATACGTATAGGACTGTAAAACGGAAAAGAAAAAAAAATTCTGTGTGGGAACTTTGGAAGTCTATATCAGATTTCAGCTCTGTTTGTCCAAGCATTTCTTATTTTTAATTTATCCTGTAGCTTGTATTTACAAAATCAAGACAAGAACACTGAAAGCAATTTAGAAATAAATGGGCCGCATTTCATCACTGCTTTCATTTTTCATTTGTAACTGACTGGTATATGAGTTTATAACCTACTTTATTTTTTTACCTAAGATTGTACCAGGAAAATTTTCACAGGTCTTTGAGTATTCATTGAAAACACAATTTGCAGTAGATTCTTAGGATTCTGTCATATTTTTGTACCAATATTAACTTGGAGAGTCCTTAATTGTGTGTCATTTGGATTATTTTTTCTAACGTGTGACTATTGTAAATAACATTGTACAATCTTATTAATATATCACTGTGAGATTCTCTGATTGTATAGATAAATTTTAGAAGTTCCATTGCTTGGTCCAAGGGTATTATTTCTTCTAAGTTAACTGGCACATATTGCCAATGGTTACTATTGGTATATTTGTATTTTTAACATTTGTATTTCATATTTCTTGCAAATATTTCCAAATATATTGGTTGCTTCTAAAATGTATTATTTATTTGAGACATATAATTTTTGTTTTTTTATTATTATACTTTAAGTTCTGGGGTACATGTGCAGATCTTACAGGATTGTTACATAGGTATACATACACATCCCATAGTGTTTGCTGCCTTCGTCCCCCCATCACCTACATTAGGTATTTTCTCAATGTTATCCCTCCCCAATCTCCCCGCCCCCACTATCCCTCCCCTAGCACCCCACCCCCCAACAGACCCCAGTGTGTGATGCTCCCCTCCCTGTGTCCATGTGTTTTCATTGTTAAACACCCACCTATGAGTGAGACCATGCAGTGTTTGGTTTTCTGTTCTTGTGTCACTTTGCTGAAAATGATGGTTTCCAGATTCATCCATGTTCCTGCAAAGCACATGAACTTATCCTATTTTATGGCTGCATTGTATTCCATGGTGTATATGTGCCACATTTTCTTTATCCAGTCTATCATTGATGGGCATTTGGGTTGGTTCCAGGTCTTTGTTATTGTAAACAGTGCCACAGTGAACATACTTGTGCATGGAGACACATAATTTTCATTTTCATGATGTCAAATCTGTTGGTGTTTTCTTTTTTTTTTTTTTTGCATTCTTCCATTAACTTGGAAAGTCCTTCTCCATGTTGAGAAGAGTTATTCACCTATGATTTTGTTTTTTACACTGAACTCAATCCTGCCTTTTACATAAGGCACAAAGAAATAAACTAACCACCTTTAGTATAATTTCCTAGTGGGTGGAGGGTTATATAAAAACTCCATAGCCTGCCTGTAGAGATAGTAGTTTATGTTCCCTAGAATTTGCAGAAATGTTCAAATTGATCGTGGATAAGAGGAAATTATAAAGCTCTCATTGTTGTCTCAAAAGATGTTTCAGACCTATTGCATCCTTGAAATTCTATGAGTTTAAATTATCTCATTTCTCCTTCTGTCTCTGGAACATTAATGACATACATCGACATACTTCACATACTTGTATGTAGTCTTTTTTTTTACACTTTGTGTGTGTGTGTGTGTGTTTATTCTAATGTACGTGTGTATATATATATATATATATATATATATAGTTAAAAACTCAGTTGATCATCAGAAGAGGATTAAACAGCTGATAATGGATAACAGTAGTGGTAATAGCATTCAAAAAACTTTGCTCTCTTCACTTGCTGTCAATTACCTTACATTATTTCTTTCATTTATTGTACTTATCACAATCTGTAGTTACTTTGTTTATTCACTTGCTTATTTTCTTTTGCTCTCTCTTTAATGAAAGGTCATCAAATCGTGTCTTCTTGTTCATTGTTTTATTCCCTGCATCTTGCAGAATTCTTGACATGGTAAACACTCATTATATACTTGTTGATTAAATAGAGTAATGAGTTAAGCAAGGTAAGAAAGAGCTCGAACATCATGCTAGGGTCTCTGTGTTAAACCACGTGATGAGATATTTTCATATGTATATAATATGTACATGTATACAGGCAAACCCTGAAGAATGTCTCCCTAATGAATATATTCCTAATAGAATGTCTTTTTTATTCTCAAAATTTTATAAAATGTACCTATATCTCAATATCATATGGGCATATAGATATAGATTAAAATTTCGTATTTATCTTTCCATAACTCGACATGACATTCTTAACCAGGTAATATATAAGACAACCCTAGAGTTACCTTCTAAATATACTTTTAGGATCTCTGAAACATGTAAGGACATTTTGAAAATCTCACCAATTGACGACAAAAGCCATATGTGTTTCCGTAATGGTGAGAAAGATGACATCAATTATTTGAGCATTTTTTATTTTTAAAATGATAGTTTTCACTTCTATTTAGGTGTTATTTGTGTTTTAGCTACATTTTAGGAAACTGGTTGGAGATTTTGTATTCATGTATAATAACATGTTATATATTTTCCAATTTAAAATAACGGGAAATAGTCCCCTAGTATTTGTATACAGAATTCTGATTTCAGAAATGAGAATCTCATACATTTCTAAAGAATTCTGTGTGTGTCTATATTTATGAAATTTCACTTAGTCCTCAAAGCAGGTGTTTATGATTAGGAAAAATATGCCAAAGCAACTGGAAAGACACTTGAATAATCAGTGCTCAAAAACGATTGCAATGTTATTCTCCTGTGACAAATACTTAGGCTTAATAATCTATATAATTCCTTTATGCAGGTAATTGGGTTGGGAAAAAGTGTGCAAACAAAACTGGAATTTGCAAGAAGACGTGCAAACCTGGAGAGATGCATGCAATGCCTGCTGAGAAGATGTGCGGCAAAGATAGTGTATGCTGTGTTCCAGCTAGACGTTCTGGTCATCCTTCTGTCTGTGTGGAGAAAAAGACTACAAGACATTCAACAGCAACAACAACAAGAAGTTTGATGATGAATACTGCTTTGATGTCTTCGATGGCTTCAGTGACTAGGGTGGCTGCTACCCCTGTTTCTGTCACCAGTTGAACATTCCAGCCTCTGTCTCCTGCTCTAGGATCCCCAATTCATTAAAGCAAAGAGGATAATTATGGTGTCAGTTTTCTCTCTACAGCCCCCTTTCCACTCTCCCTCCATTCAACGATGTCTGGAAAAGCACCACAATTTAATTGCACTAGCAATTCTAGGGTAGAAATGCAAATAAGATAGGACCAGGAACAAGTGAGGGTTAGTCCAAAACACCCACTCAGGAATGATAGGTAGTAGCAATGTCATCCTTGAAGACAGTTCTAGGCCCATAACTTGCCATAGCAATTATAATCAAACTTCATGTACATCAGAAACACCTGGAGAGATGGCTGAAGCACAGATTTCTAGGGCTCACTTTTAGTTTCCTATTTTGCAAGGAAGCTTGGGAATCTGCATTGCTCACAAGTTCCCAGGTGATGCTAGTGCTGCTGGTCCAGGGACCACACTCTGAGAACAATTGGCTTATAATATGAAAGGACTGAACACCAACTGTGGATGTGATTTTCTACAGATTGAAGGCTATATTTCCTATGTAGTTTTGAAGTAGATAGTAACACAAAAGCATCCTACATAATGCTTTGATAATTATTTTCTTATTAGACTTCCTACAACTACCTGAGAATGTAGGTATTATAACTTCACTTTAGAGAATAGGAAACTTGATTTCTAAGCATTAGAAGACTGGGACAGACTAAATTGACTACTGAGAGCATTCTGTCACTGCATCATGAGGTTACACAATTTTCTTCTCACCCTGGACATCCTCATTCATAGCTTCCAACTTAAATATAATGAAAGAGAGATCAAGAGCTTTATAGTGTGGCCTGAATGTTAGGACAGGCACTCATCCCAAGCAATAGAGTGTTTCCCTTACCAGCTCTGCCTGCACCAATAAAAGAATACGACTGGGTATATTATAGTCATCCATGCCTCAGGCCCACTTTCCTGATAGTTGGAGAGGGAGAATAGGAAATACAATTGCCTTCACTCTCTGGACACTTGTAGTTGCTGTGTTTGTCTTTGTCATCTCAGTTTGCTCACTTATGAAATGATATTGTTTTACTCAGTATCTTTCTCCCCACTCCTGTCATACTACATCTTTCTGATTTTGGAAATGTAAGATTAGCTTATGTTTTCTGGGGTCAGCTTCGCCTTTGACCCCATAAGCTCCTAGGGATTTAGTACAGAGATATAAAAGTTGGAGAAAACATTGTTGGAAGGGCTCTCTCCACTGTAGACACAAGTCCATGTGTGTCATCACAGACTCCTTTTCCTTCTTTACTTGATCCCATTGAAGATCCATGTTCATTCTACCACCTCCAATATGTGCCATGACTTCTATCTCCAGGTGCTACTGGGATTATTGCAATAGCCTTCCCATTGATTGCTTTGCATTCTTTTCACACACACACACCCATCTATCAGCCACTGTGATAGCCAGAATCATTTTCCTGAAGCACAAATCTAATCAGTAGCCTCCCCTCTGGCATCTTTGCCCGTAGCATCCTAGGACAACTTCTCAATGCAGCCTTTATTACCCTTAGCATTCAGAACCTGGATTGCATTTCCAGTTTTACCTCCGAAGCGCTCTCACAGGGCGTCTTGCTATCCTGTCACACACATCTCTTTGTGATTGGGTTGAACTCACTGGATTGCTACTAGTTTTGAGTTTTTGCACATACTCTTCTGTCTCCATTTATAACTGCCTGGAAAAAAGTCTTTATTTTCTTCTGGAGGACTTTGATAACCACACTGTTCTTCCCACAGTAGAACTACTGCCACCATTTGTGCTCCACTATTATGACTTATCCAGAATTTTAAGTCATCATGTCACATGCTTCACTCTGAATATCTGCTTATGTCTTCTCCCCTACTAGACTTTGAAATTTTATTCAGGAACAGGAACAGTTTTATCTTCTCTTTCTCCTACCATCCCCTAACAAGATTCTATATTAATTCTTGCTGAATAAGTAGAGGGATTCTCGAAGGCCTGAAAGATCTTTGGATAGCACTGAAATCTCATTTTTATTTATTTTAGATCTTCTCCAGGAAACAGGCTTCTGTCTCCTTTAGAAAACACGTCTATGATCTGTTGTCATTACATTTGAGTGGTGGCTTGTCCCAATTGGTAGGACATCATTGCCTCTTACACTTAGGGTTATCTTTGTAGGGAGAACTCATGAACTCATACAAGAAGGTGGTCGGGTGGAAGCAAGTTACTTCAGCAGAGTAGAATAGTAGAAAAAATATATAACTTTAGAGTCAGACATATCTGAGGTCATCCATGATCCCACCACATATCCACTCTTGGACCATAGACAAATAATTTCCCATCTTTGAGCCTATGTTGCTGAATTTGAAGAACAGGGAAAATGGTTACTCCCACTCAAGGTACTTTGAGGGCTGTGAGAGCAATATATTAAAATGGTAATCATGGTCATAGGAATTTAGCTGTAACAGGTTGTTCCCTGGATAAGGAACAGTACGGCACATTTTCCCAGGGCCCTGCCCACTGGACCTTGGCTACCTTGCATGAGTATGGGTGATTATATCCTATGTTTCACCTGGGGGAAGAGTCATTATTAGGTGGGGAAGAATGTGACAGAGTTGAGAGTCATGGGATCTCCTTGAACAGCCAGATGAGATTTTAAAGGCTTCTAGTAGAACTTGCTGTGCTTTCTTTTCAGTAATCACCTTGATCACTACCTTGAAAACATCTTAGAGCTATTATCACTTTGATTATAGACAATGAATAATCTTAGTGCTGCAGCCTGAAATGTTGTTCTCTTATCTTCTTGCCTTACATCCTACCCTTCCTTTATGCTGTTCTGGAACTTAGGTGGGAAATAATCTTTTCCTGCTTTGGAGTTGACTATTGGCATTAGGAGGCCAAGGGAAAAGGAACCTTTATTGTGTGAGAACCTGCAATGTGCCAAGCACATTAATACACAATTTCTTAAACAAAAGCATTGTATAATAATTATGACAAGATGATTAAAGCTGAGGAACCTGGAGCAAAATGTATCTAGGGCTACATCTAGGTTTGTTCCTTACTAATTTTACTCATCATGTGGTCTCGATATCAATTTCCTTATTAGCAAGACAGGTATAATCACACATCTACCTCTTAGAATCACTCTAAAAATTAAAATAGATAAGGCATATAGGGCACTATGATTTCTAGCACCTATGAAATTCTAAGAAATGTAGATTTCAAAAGGCATATGAGACATAGGTTATTACGGTTTAAAATATGAAATGTTCAAAAAATAAAATATGGAAATTCTGAGTTTCAAGGAGAAAGAGGATCTTGCACAAGAACAACCATATTTGTAAGCCAATTTAACCTGTTCTCAAGCTCACATCTCTACCCCATCTCATGCTAATCCTGATGATATTCTCAAAGCTGACTTCTACTCATATTACGTAGCTATGTAAACCATGCACATGCATGTCTATGTACATTCAGATTCTAGTGTTTTGAATACATTTTTGCCTTAAATAAATTAAATGAGATTTAGATTTCACCAGCCACTGATACTCAATCCCAAGTGCATATTCATTCAAAAGTTTGACTTCTCTCCTGAGGTGAGAGTAAGATTTCTGGGCACTTTTTCACAGAGGAAAAATAAGACAGATCTATAGAATTACCCAACCTATAAACAGGAAAATAGACTGAAAAAAATGAACAGAGCCACAGATATCTGTGGGACATAAAGAGATCAAATGTTCATGTCATCAGAGTCCTCAAGGAGAGGAAGAGTGTGGAACTGAAAAAAAAATATTTGAAGGAATGATACCTGAAAAATATCCCAAATGTGACAGAATACGTAAATCTACAATTCAAGATCTTGAATTAACCCAAAATAAGATAAATCCAAAGAAATCCATGCCAAGATAAAGTATAATCAAACTAAAACTAATATCTAAAGACAGAAAAAATCAAGTGAGCATTTAGAAACAATACACCACCGGTGGTGAAACAATGGTTTGGTTGATGGGATTTGTCATCTGAAACCATGGAAGCAAAAAAGAAATATCATAACATGTTTCGAATGCCAAAATAAAGAACTATTAAATCCAAATTCTATATCTAGCAAAAAAAAAAAAAAAAAAAAGTTCTCTAGGAATAAACAGGGAAAGAAAAACATTCCCAAATAAGAAAAAGTTAAGGGAACTTGTCACTAGCAGCCCTACCCTAAAAAATAGTCAAAGAAACCTCTCTAAACTGAAAGTAAATGATAACAGGGGGTTTGGAATTTCAGAAAGGAAGAGATCAATAGAATGGATAAAATGGGAGGTGAATATAAAAGAATATGTTTTTATTTTTTCTTGAGATAGTGTCTGGCTCTATTGCCTGGGCAGGAGTCCAGTTGTGCGATCTTGTCTCACTGTAGCCTCAACCTTCTGGGCTCAAACAATCCTCCCTTCTCAGCCCAGTGAGTAGCTGGGACCACAGGCGCCAGCCACCAGGCCCGGCTAATTTTTCTATTTTTGGTAGAGTCAGAATTTCCCTGTGTTTCCCAGGCTGGTCTCGAACTCATGGACTCATGCCATCTGCCCGTCTTGGCCTCCCAAAGCGAGACTATCTTTTTATTAAATAGTTTTAAAATCATGTTTGGTAGATTGAAGCAAATATTGTGACCCTGATGTGGTTCTAAATAGATGTAGAAGAAGTACTTAAGACATTATAAGCCAGGTAAGGCAAAGAAATTTAAAGTGAGGTAAGTTTTCTATACTTCATTCAAACTTGTAAAACACTGACACCGTAGACTGTGATGTTATGTACAGCAACCACTAAAAAAAATACATAAACAAGAAATCAGAGCTAAATTATAATGGAATTCTAAGGAACAAATAGAAAACAAAATATAAAATGGTAACTTAATTCCTAACATGAATCAAAAAGATACACCATGCAAATATGAATCATAAGAAAGTAGGAATAGCTATATTAATACCAGTTAAAGCAGACTTCAGAGCAAAACAAATTATCAAGGACACAGAGAGAAATTACATAATGCCAAAAGGGTCAATCAATCAACCAATAA